TTGAATTACCAAATTACCCTTATCATTAATTTATAATTTAGATTTGAACCTAAAGTGAAGAAAGAATGTGATTGGTTAAGATCGGTTTCCATAGTTTGTACCATATGGTTGGTTTCTATTTGAATCAACCTATATATATATATATATATATATATATATATATCATACTCTATCACTATATCATTTGTTCATCAATGTGGGATTTCCAAAAAGCAAGCACAACGCAAGATATTAAAATACACCACTCACAACATCTCAATATTTTAAAGTTATCCTTTTATATGACATAAACAAACGTAACCACATTTCAAGATTTAAGAAAAATACTCAAATCTCATAATGACAATTGCAAATGAAATGGTTGACTCATTTAAGCCAACATCATGACTTACAACAAAAAGAATCACCTCCTCTTTTCATATATATATACGCATTTCATTCCTTCTACTTTTTTTCCCCACCAATGTGGGATAAGCAAATTTAACCACATTTTGAGACACTTGTATTATATGTTATACGACCTTCCTTAAAAACGAAGTATAACCAACAAGAAGAATCGATAACAGCACAAATAAAACTAACCAAGAACAATAGGGCATGACAATCTAATACTTAAAAGAGAACAGTAACACCTTTTCTTGTATAAAGACGAATAAAGAGCCTCTGACTATCATCAGAAAGTAAAAGGAAATTTTCTGCAAACACAAAACATACATGTTAGCATGAAACTCTACATAAACAAGGACATGTATAAATGACACTAAGTACCATATAGGCACCTAAGAAGATATTTTCATCATGTTTGAAAACATGAAGAGTCGTCCTTAAAACTTCTTGTAGCAACAGGCAAAAATTATGTTGGTACTTCAACGTGACAGGAGGGGATGCCTCATTTAACTTGACAGCGCTTAAAATATGTAGACATAATGACTTGAAAAACTGAAAAGTTTTCGCCTTCTAGTTCAATAGAAGAAATCTTCTCTTGACACCAAATCTGAATTGGGACGATTGCATGAGCATGTTCAGGAACCGACATTATACGACCCTACAATACAGCCCGTTGTAAACTTTCATGCAAACTATTATTTTGAAGGAACATATTACCCAGTGCGCCAGGTCTAGCACTAGTCAGATCTAGAAAGTCACACTCTATTGTATATGTCTGCGGAAAGTTACTCATACAGATCCAAATGTTATTCTGACTCATAGGATCGTTTTCAACATTATATTAGATGAGATAAAGTCAAGAATGCCATGAAGCAAGTCAGATTCAAATGTAATTCTAAGTTGTGGATTGGACCTGAACACACTTAGGGTGAAGTATTTAATTCTTTGTTGTTAATTTAGAAGAAAATATGCATATGGTCGACAATACGGTTTGGTGTCATATTCACGTGATAAATACATTCTTTGGCATACAATTGCTTATGGGGTGATGCAGCATAACCTTGTATCATATTATAGGTAAGCATACACACATAGTTACACCCATCTAAAAAACACACATACATAGATAGAGAGAGGGGCATGAAACAAAGAAAAGAGAGAGTAAGTGATGCATCATAAACTTTAAAAGAAAAACACTAGTATGGCTTAAGAGTGAATTTTACTCCACCATTTTCCCTATCACATTTTTGTTGATTTTTCTTGGCCTTTCATTCCCTCTGCATCCCAACACTTTCTCTCCGTCAAGACATCCACAAAATCAATGACCAAAGTTTTCCTTACAAACCCTTCACCAATTGTGTCGGTCTTTCTGCATACATGCCATAGTCCATTTTCCCCTAACAATTTTTCAGAACAGAGGTCCATCTTTAAGAAACAAGTTCAAACCCTAATATTTTTAGCAGTAGCAAAACAACCCTAATAATTAACCTCAAGGTAACCTTCCTACTTTCGTGAGTGAAGTTAAGAGCGACACATCTAAAAACCTAAAAGTCAATATACAAATGCATCCATTCTAGAGTACACCTAAAAAACCTAGACCAAATCTAAACAAATCGCCAAATCAATTGAACGTTAAGTAAAAAACAACTGTGAGATACAAAGAGAACTCAAAAGCAAAACAAATTCAACTTACATCGTTCAGGACCGGGGACGCCATCTGAATCGAGAGAATCAAAATGACCAGACATACGATTATTACGTTCGGCATCAGTTTCTTCACAGAATCCACGTCTTTTAGTTTTCCTAGGAATAGAAGAAGCAACGGTGACAGCGCCACCAGTGATGGCCGATTTAAGCTTAGGGATTGGAGTGGAAGTTCTCGGAGAAGAGGCGTCGACGTCAACAGCGGCATCTTCGTCCATGAGATCATCGTCATCAGGCTCAAAATCCAGCGCATCTACGTCGGCAGCATTCGCCATTCGATTGGATTTCTACTCCCGGTGCTTCTCTTCAGAGCTAAATCGATGAACTGCGGTTTCTGCGGTGGGAGGAGGAGGAGGAGGCCGAGGGTTTATTCAAAGCATGTGAACTTTTTGAACATTTCCTTTTTAGGTGGCAAATTAGGGTAAATGATATAATTACATTTTCAT